TAAGAAACAAACGTTTTTCTGTAACACTGACTAGGCGGTGTCAAGATAAGAAAAGCGTTTTAAAATGTTATTTAGACGAGTTTCGTTCTTGAAGGGGTTAATATGCTTTAATAACACAGAATTACAACCCAAGTTATTCAGGCAAAACCTCTTCATGGCGGACGGAGCAACAAGAATACTTCAGTATGAGTACCACAGGATTCACGTTTCGCAACTTGTCTTCGTTGTGGTCCCAGTATTTTTTTGTTTTGTTTTCCATTTAGTCAAAACACAGATGGGGAGGGCGGTCTTAAAGTTCTGACTGAGAACACCAGGTACCAGGATGCCTGGCCACGCCACCTGCCTCCTCGTTGAAGACGATACCTGCATAGCATAGTATCCAAGCTAACATAGCTATAAGATGACTGGACGGGTAAAGCCATGGAATTGTAGGCCTTGAATTAAATTCAGTGAGTCCGTAAACAGACGGATACCTGCAGCGTCGAGTGCCATGCAGAGAGCGAGAAGATCTGCAGTACAAATTGAGTTCAGTTTCAATTTAAAAGCTTGTCAGTTTAAAATGAATGTACACCTCGTCTCATCATAGCCCAATGTGTACAGACGACTGTGTGATCCGAATAGCACGTGGACATGTCTATACAGAGGTTACGAGACGTTTTGGAGGTGCACACACAAATCAAGCTCCGGGAGTGATGTAGGCGACAACTGGCGTCATAATTACAGTCATTCTTAGTCTCCTTGTATTCGTCTGTATGTGGCTTTTCTCTGCCTTCCATTAAGTGTAATGATTTGTGCCAGATGCCTGTTAAGCAAAGACACTAACACGCCTTCCTAATTCGAAGGAAAACGCGGAGAAGCTTATTTTGTAGGCGCTACAATTTCAAAATATGGGAGTCTAAGGTATAACTCCCAAGCAGAGCTGGCATAAGTCATTATTGACCTAATGAGTGCTTTAATTTCATGTTAGTGCTTAATCGCTCAATTTTGAGTAGGGTGTAGACTCTAATAAATGTTGTGAAGACCTTGGCTTCGATAATTTCTTTATACAATCTCCATGTAATCTTTATATAAAAGACTACACCGAGATATTTCTGTTGGTTTACAAATGGGATATTCCGTCCGTTCACTTTAAGATGAGCATCGAGCAATCTAAATCTACGAAAAAAATACATCGCCTGACTCTAATCTTCATTGATTTCTATGTTCCAACGTCCACACGACAACTCCATTGAAGTGAGCCCACGCTGCAGCTTTCAGAGAACATAACCTCTCTCTGCGGTCTGTTGCGGTACAAGACATCAGCGGCGAGGGTTAGATGAACATACAGGGTTTCGGGGGCATGGTTTATGCATAGGGTGGGGGACAGGACGGACCCTTGTGACACCCCTGCTTTTATTTCGTTTAGCGCAGACATTTCGCCTTCAACCGATACTCTGAAATTCGTATTTAAAAGAAAGAAATTTACAACCGTCAATATGTGTCGCCCTCCACACGCAGTGGTCATTCTTGAGGTACATAGACGGCCTTTAATATAAACACGTCTTAAAATTCGAATGGTGCCATCTATAGGCTTTATCCTGATGGAGCAATACAATTCCAATAATATCAATCCTCCATTCACGATTCTCGTAATGTTCAAGAATGCCTATCGCGGAAGGCTGATGTCGAACACATTGGCTGGCCACCACGGGCGCCGGACTTGAACCCAATCCAGAATATGCGGAGTGAGGCGAAAACTCCATGTAAGAAACCTGACCTGACCTTCTTCCAAAAAACGTAGTTGCTCCATAGACCCTTGTGCCAGACACTCAGGATGAAGTTGCTTCGTATCAGCGTTACGTGCAATCCCTCAGTTAGTCAATGCCATGGCTGAGGCTCTTAGAACAGTCCTAACAGGGCTAACATACTGAATAATACTTTAGGAAACAGAAACGATTCGAAAGTGTGTTTTTGTAAATAAAATTGTTTGTCTAGAGTCAGATCACGGAAACTTTAAATCAGACTGCCAATTAACAACAAATCACGAAAACAATTAGAAAAGTGCTTATTTGTATCGCACCAATATGGCACTCAAAAAGTGATGATTTGAAAGATAATACTGACGATTACGTATAGCTCGGTAACAAAGTCATTCGACTTCTTGTACTTTAGACAAGCATCTTTCAAATATCACGATCTGCATATTTCTGCATCCAGTTCCAATTGCTCTTGGTATCCGTTCCACACAGACGTTTTGAAACATATAATTCAGTTACATAAACATCCACAATTGAAGTAAGCATTTGTGCTAACATAACAATCATTAACAGAAAAATATATGGACACATCGGGATTCGAACTTAGACGTAATATATTTTTCCAAAGTAGTCTCCTACCCTGGCGACTTGCTTGCCAGGAAAGCGGGCAGTTCTGAAAAATGCCTTCAGCCCAATTATTTCGTCAGGTTTCGTTACGCGATTCAGAAAAGCTATTAAAATTAATTCACATTTTCTTCAAATTAGGCGGACACATAAGCATGTACACGTGTAATGATTTGTGCCAGATGCCTGTTAAGCAAAGACACTAACACGCCTTCCTAATTCGAAGGAAAACGCGGAGAAGCTTATTTTGTAGGCGCTACAATTTCAAAATATGGGAGTCTAAGGTATAACTCCCAAGCAGAGCTGGCATAAGTCATTATTGACCTAATGAGTGCTTTAATTTCATGTTAGTGCTTAATCGCTCAATTTTGAGTAGGGTGTAGACTCTAATAAATGTTGTGAAGACCTTGGCTTCGATAATTTCTTTATACAATCTCCATGTAATCTTTATATAAAAGACTACACCGAGATATTTCTGTTGGTTTACAAATGGGATATTCCGTCCGTTCACTTTAAGATGAGCATCGAGCAATCTAAATCTACGAAAAAAATACATCGCCTGACTCTAATCTTCATTGATTTCTATGTTCCAACGTCCACACGACAACTCCATTGAAGTGAGCCCACGCTGCAGCTTTCAGAGAACATAACCTCTCTCTGCGGTCTGTTGCGGTACAAGACATCAGCGGCGAGGGTTAGATGAACATACAGGGTTTCGGGGGCATGGTTTATGCATAGGGTGGGGGACAGGACGGACCCTTGTGACACCCCTGCTTTTATTTCGTTTAGCGCAGACATTTCGCCTTCAACCGATACTCTGAAATTCGTATTTAAAAGAAAGAAATTTACAACCGTCAATATGTGTCGCCCTCCACACGCAGTGGTCATTCTTGAGGTACATAGACGGCCTTTAATATAAACACGTCTTAAAATTCGAATGGTGCCATCTATAGGCTTTATCCTGATGGAGCAATACAATTCCAATAATATCAATCCTCCATTCACGATTCTCGTAATGTTCAAGAATGCCTATCGCGGAAGGCTGATGTCGAACACATTGGCTGGCCACCACGGGCGCCGGACTTGAACCCAATCCAGAATATGCGGAGTGAGGCGAAAACTCCATGTAAGAAACCTGACCTGACCTTCTTCCAAAAAACGTAGTTGCTCCATAGACCCTTGTGCCAGACACTCAGGATGAAGTTGCTTCGTATCAGCGTTACGTGCAATCCCTCAGTTAGTCAATGCCATGGCTGAGGCTCTTAGAACAGTCCTAACAGGGCTAACATACTGAATAATACTTTAGGAAACAGAAACGATTCGAAAGTGTGTTTTTGTAAATAAAATTGTTTGTCTAGAGTCAGATCACGGAAACTTTAAATCAGACTGCCAATTAACAACAAATCACGAAAACAATTAGAAAAGTGCTTATTTGTATCGCACCAATATGGCACTCAAAAAGTGATGATTTGAAAGATAATACTGACGATTACGTATAGCTCGGTAACAAAGTCATTCGACTTCTTGTACTTTAGACAAGCATCTTTCAAATATCACGATCTGCATATTTCTGCATCCAGTTCCAATTGCTCTTGGTATCCGTTCCACACAGACGTTTTGAAACATATAATTCAGTTACATAAACATCCACAATTGAAGTAAGCATTTGTGCTAACATAACAATCATTAACAGAAAAATATATGGACACATCGGGATTCGAACTTAGACGTAATATATTTTTCCAAAGTAGTCTCCTACCCTGGCGACTTGCTTGCCAGGAAAGCGGGCAGTTCTGAAAAATGCCTTCAGCCCAATTATTTCGTCAGGTTTCGTTACGCGATTCAGAAAAGCTATTAAAATTAATTCACATTTTCTTCAAATTAGGCGGACACATAAGCATGTACACGGATGAGAATGTGTACGGTTTACTGAGCCATTCGCGCTTATTATACTATTCGCTCGGAATCCCCACAGTACCATCGTGGGTCATAGATCTCTCTGCAACCTTCCAAATGCATGTATACACTGCACGACAAAAACGAAGCTCTTGAAATTTTCTAGGTTCCAAGCTGGAAGTAATGTAAACGTACAGCTGGTCTCATAATTCCAGACTTTCGAAATTTCCTAGTATTTATCAGCGCGTGACTTTTACATGTCTTCCAATGACTGTAATGATTTATGCCAGATGTTTGTTAAACAGAAACAGATATGTGTACATGACTTCGAAGAAATGTCGGTGTAATACTTTATCGCATGAAAACCACACATCCCACTTCCTGCCATTGATTTTCTGTTTCATTGCCAAGGAATCAAGTTAAATCTCATTCTTCCAAACGGCCTGCATATCATGAGCTTTTGTAAAGCACTGTAATCTAAGGCCGATGGAAGTTAGAAATAAGGCCGTAGCTCGATATGAATTGCAAAGAAACATAATATCCAAATTTTCACACCAATCAAGGCAGACTTATAGTTTTCATTTCTTTCCTTCTGGTTATGAAGCTGCATATTTTTGGAGAAGGTTTTCGACTTTTAGGAGGAGCACACTGCCCCCACATTAGGGTAGAAATGGTTTCTATCCCAGAAAACATCACGTCAGAATCTATAATAAAATCCCGAAAATATCTAAATAATTAGCTCACCTTCGAGACTTTGGTCGTACCCTTTGGTGAAGAAGAGCATGGCCTTTGCAGCTCGCTCAGGCGTTTTGAGGAGTCCCTGCCGGTCCGGGTTCTCGCCGAGAGACGAAAGCAACAGGCGATAGGCGCGAGACATGTCTGGCAGAAGAGCCTCTCTGGTGGGCGGTCGGTGGTCCAGCTCCAGGTCGTGGTGGAACGTGCATTTCTCGTGGCCTGTGGAAACATATGAGAATGAAAAAACCTGCTCTCTAACAGAACTGTGTGTGAACATGACCACTCACCGAGGTTAGGAATGCCTCCTCCACTCACTCATACGTCTGCATAGCGAGTGCTTAATGAACTCGAGACAGCTTTACCCATGGTCGAAAGACTGTCTTTCGACCATGGCTTTACCTACACTTGGTATAGACACACGAGTGAAGCATGCCTGTATAGATTATAGGAAATTGTTTTATTCGGAGACAAGTGGGATTATTTCGAAGCGATCGAGGGCCAGAGAGTCTGGTCAGGACAGTTGCATGGTTAAGTAACTTACAGTCACTAAAAATTGGTCCAGGTTACAGAAATACTACAAAATATAGGTCTATTCTAAACTATATTGAAGATTTCATTTCATATCGCAAAGAAAACATCTTAAAAATAAAATTATTAATGCTTAAGGAAATAATGATTGATTAAATGCAAATACGTGTAGCTTAAGCCTACTAGTGGCTCCGAAACGTCAATCTACGTCGGTATCTGTTTTTATTGATTCTTATAGTGTTTCAATTATAGTTTCCCCATAGAGTATAGAGTCCTTGAAAAGCTTATGATCGCTCAATTACTCAAGAAATTCCCCGTCTTTTACAGAAATTGAAAGATTTTAACGCCTTCATAAAGGTCCACCCTTTCGGAAATCGTCCTAAAATGTTATTCGAAAGAAGTTTAAGAAGTCTACTTGTATGGAATGTCATATTTACTGTCTTTTAAAGTAAGGCGAAAAGTATGAGAAACAAGTAGGATTTGAGGTTTTTACGACGGTGAGTCTGAAGATGGCTGTCTTCTGGGTTGTAGCGCGCCGTGTGGTCTGGTAGATGTTTACCGACGTTTCAGAGGTCCTTGCTGCATCCATCATCAGGGCGATCGCCCTATTGACAAAGGCATCAAGGGCTGAAACACTGGTACTTCTACCAGACTACACGGCGCGCTACAACCCAGAAGACAGACATATTCAGACTCACCGTCCCCATCTTCAGGGCTTAAGATGAAGACGGTGTGTTTGTCCGAAACGTCTGCATCTACCTACGAGTTAACACAGCGCCAAAACCTAGAACATCATTGATATGGAAACGGATTCTCATAATGCTATTTTTGCTATTGAATGCGTTAGACCAAGTGAAATATTGTGTATCGTTGCATTTTTTAATCAAAATAATCATATATGCGGTTACCTAATTTTCATACACAAAGACATTAACGTTTAGGGACACCACTCACATGATTATGTTAACCTTAAATCATTCGACATAAAATAATAACCACAAACGTCGGTAAAGACGACTTCCGAAGGGAATTGTAGCTTCCCCTTCCTTTAATCGTAATGTTGACAAATCATAATTCCTTTCTAATAGACCGCAATATCAGTGCAGCTGAAGCAAATGCTGAAGTTAAATCAAAATATACCAATAAGTCAGTATAGTGACTAGCTACGGGCTGGACGACCGGGGTTCGATCCCCGACGGGGGCAGAGGATTTTTCCTCTAGCCTCTGCGTCCAGACCGGCTCTGGGGCCCACCCAGCCTCCTCTACAATGGGTACCGGGGTCCTTTCCCGGGGGTAAAATCGGCCGGGGCGTGATGCTGACCACTCACCCCCATCTAGTGCCGAGGTCAAGGAAGAGAGGAGCTATACCTCCACACCCCCCAAACGCCTGTATGGCACGTAGCGGGACAAATTTTACTTTACTTTTACACAACGTGTCTGGTATAAATGTCACAATTACTACAATAATAATAAGATGGTAAAGTTGCGTCATATTGTGATATAATAAGTATATATTAAATCTTGTCCGTCTAATCACAATAATTCTTATTAAATATTAAAATATTACAATAATTAACATTTAAAATATTTAAAGATGTTCTTTATCTTTATCTGGTAAAAATCTGATAAAAATGTACGCTAGCATAATGTATGAAAATTGTATTTGAATTATTTATCGTTTTGAAGCTTTATATAATTATATGCACCTAAGGATGGTGCTTTTAGGAACTGAAACATGTCGTGAAACATGAAAAATGATGGTCTAATGTAAATCGAATATTTCGATAAAGAACATCATTTAATATTTTAAATATTTTAAATGTTAATTATTGTAATATTTTAATATTTAATAAGAATTATTGTGATTAGACGGACAAGATTTAATATATATATATTTTGCTTCTGTAAGTCCCAAATTTTTTGGATGTCTATTTCCAAATTTTAAATAAACAAAAAAAGCAATGATTTTTGATGGTCTCACCAAGAGATTTTTCTGTATATACCTTTCTTTCCAACGTAAAGGTATTTTTCGCTAGTGACTGAAGTGATTTATAAAATTAACTGAAATGGTATAAACTATACAAAAAAAATCAACAGTGAATTAATACTATTTAGTGCAAGAATGCCGTATTTAGTTTCATCGAAATCGGTATCGTAAGGTGGACGCTGTTATATTCGGACGAACGGTGGATGGTCGGGCATGACAAAACTTATTAACGCTTTTCGACTCTTCTCTGTTTAATTCGCCTGCAAATGAACTCTGCGTCTAGAATGCAACTCACGTGCCAAAACGAATAAACTGCTATTAGAATCGCAATAATCTTTAGGAATAGTGAACAAACAGAAATAAAACAAGTTAGTAAATGTACACATAGCGTAACAATTCTACTGCGTTCGCCATAATTTGACATTTGCAAATTGCGTCAGTGACGTAAAGTTTTGTCATAGATCAATGGTCTTTGTGTGGGTGGAGTGTCTGACTCTTTTTTGGTTTGGTGGTGACGTCACAGTTTCGTTACCTTTCTGATGGTCTTACCCCGTTAGCCATTTCAGTAGATAATAAACGGAATTCACGTTATATCATCCTGCTGATAAGAACATAACGAAGGTCGACCAGCAAAATACGACGCGTATGTAAAGTAGTTTCCTTTGTGCAGTCACAGCAAACACAGTCCACAAAAAAATCGTTTAATACGCAACCCAGCATAAAATGCGTATAATTCATAATCCTACACCGAACTAAAAAAAAATGCCAAATTTTCTAGATGTAACTTACGCCTCCGAAAATAAGTCCCATGGTCTATTCTTATTCATTGTCTATGAGTAATTCAGGCCTGTACGTAAAATACCTCACAGCAACTCTTGAGACGCCTCAGTTCATTACCATTAGTGCAATTATCTTGCGACAGCTCAGACATGCAGCAGAACGAGAATACGACATTTCAGTAGGTAAAAACCAATTGGAAGGGCACTGCATACATGACAATACCATCACAGGTCAGAGAAGACAGCAAATTGCAATTACGTCTTGTGGAATTATAATTTGACTTTGCTTTGTTCTGTTACTTTATGTAGGTTAAAACTAGACATTGCAGGTAGATTATGATCGTCTGAGATGAAAAGTGGAGGCAGCATGTTCCTCCGAAACGTTTATGCACAACAAGAAGACTACACACTTTTCTAAACACATCAAATTATAAAACGAAAACACGGCCCTGACATTGAAAAGAAGGTCTGGACCCAAATAAGCAACAAATGAACACATAGACGTGTGGATTAAATAGTTCAGCATTATCTAGCGTTTTACAAGTCAGTTCTGTAATACTCTGAAACTGTCTTAAGCATCATCCAACGTTCCCCAGGGACAACATTTGTCATCTTCCCTCTGCTTCCTCTCAACTTGCAGAATTCTTCAGTGTTCTTCATGCCTCTCCTTTCCTCATTCATACAACATTCGGTATATTCCTATGTGTCATATTTTATATCCATTTTTACTGCATCTCGTCTTTAATATTATCATCATGGCCAGTTCCTCTTTCCTTTTGCGTGCCTAATTGGACTTCCTTCAAAGTGTAATAAGAATTTAGACCTATACGATGTGTCATGAATGAATTGACTCTACACCGTCTTCTCGTGATTGGTTGTAGTAAAATTAACTGTCGCAACTTTACAGAATTAGTATTAAGAGTAGATACAACAGATTTTTTCGAGACAGGTGATAATATTAGGCTACATCGAATAGGAAACAGTAAGATGATATTTGTAGTCGAAAGAAAATCGAAATGTCTTACGATCGCGTCCCATGGTGAGCTTTTGTATTAGCGGCGCTGAACTTTGGAGTTGTGCTACCAGTGTTAGTCTCAGTCTAATGGCAGACAGCCATCTGAAGAAGGGAGCACAGAAAATAACTGTAATGTCCCATAATTTATTTAAAATATATCTTCTAGAAAATTATGATATTTTAACAACGGTAAAAATGTGGATTGTGGTCATCTGGGTTGTTACGCCGTCTTACAGTCGTTAACCAAGGTTTCGAAGTAATGTGTAGTCTTCATCTTCAGTAAAGATCACGTACTCCGAAAAGATGGTAGCCGCCTGCGAGACTACACGACAACATTATTCTGGTGTTACCTAGAAACCAGTTAACCAGACGTAATTTTTTTTTACTATCAGAGTCAAAATTGTTCTCAGCGACTTCCGGTGATGGTAGCTTCAAACTGACAGTATGCTCGTGGTTTGCAATGTATGAAATTTGAGGTTTTCACGGCTGTAAGGATCACGATGACGGTCTTCTGGGTTCTGACGCCGTACGAGGGTCGCTCATTAAGTAATGCCCCACATTTTTTTCCTCAGAACATATTTATTCAAGATGGCTCAAATTTAGTGACAATATAAATCAATGTTTCCTTTACACATACTATTTTTCCACATAGTCCCCATCAACTTGTACGGTTTTACGCCAGCGTGGAACAAGTGCATGCATGCCTTGCCGGTACCAGCTCTTGTCCTGTGCACGTAGCCATGTCCTCACTGCTTGAATCACGCTCTCGTCATCTTCAAATCTTGTTCCGCGGATAGCATCTTTAAGGGGCCCAAAGAGATGGAAGTCGGAGGGTGCCAGATCTGGACTGTAGGGTGGATGGGGTAGCACCGTCCAACCCAATTTGGTGATTTCTTCCCGGGTTCTCAGA